TCCTCTCTTCTCTTTCTTTCTTTCTTTCTTTCTTTCTTTCTCTTTTCTTTCTTTTCTTTCTTTCTTTCTTCTTTCTTTCTTTCTTTCTTTCTTTCTTTCTTTCTTTCTTTCTTTCTTTCTTTCTTTCTTTCTTCCTTTCTTTCTTTCTTTCTTTCTTTCTTTCTTTCTTTCTTTCTTTCTTTCTTTCTTTCTTTCTTTCTTTCTTTCTTTCTTTCTTTCTTTCTTTCCTCCTTTCTAATAGAGAACCAAGTGTAAATAGTTTTTATATGGTCCACATCTTTCTGGGTGATGAGATGAGTTGATGGCAACATTTTTATTCCCCTGGAATTTGAAAGAAATCTTTCATTTTCCAGAATGGGCAAAACAAAATGCCTGTTCTGTCCTCAATGGACCTGAGTAATGGCTTTTAAGTTTTGTTTTGTAACTTTATTAAAGCCTGTGATTACATACCTTTGAAATACTGAAACTGATCTGACTCTCTCCCTTAACCCACTCTTCTCATCTTCTTCCTTCTCTTCCTCCCTCCTTTCCCCTGCCCCTCTTTTTGCAGTCTTAGGCATAAACAGGTAAGTTTGAGAAAGCTTGAGAAAAGCCATACTTCTCGTTTCTTCACAGAAGCAGTTTTCTCATTTCATCTGTTTGCAAAGCCTAAGGCAAAAAAATACAGAAAACAACAAAGAAAATAACCAGGCCTTGAGCCTTGTCCATGGAGGCCTCACAGAAGCTGACAAATGTCAGATTTGAGAAGAAGGGCAGGTGATTACAGAGTTTGTTCTGTGGACATGCTGAGAGTTATATTTAAAATTTAAATACACTACTGTCCTCAGCAAGGATACCCTCCTCCTAAGAAAACACTCTCCCAGTGCATAGGGCCAGATGTTCGGCTCTTCAGGGGAGAGCAGAAAGGGTGATGTTCAAAGAATTCTTTCCTTTTGTGCTATAAGCTGAGATGCTGTAGGAATAACTTGTTGGAACTTGTCAGCAGTGCCAACAAGTGTGAAAGCATGCATTTGGGTATGGGAAGCTATGAGATTTTCTGTGCCAAGCTAATTCTCACACAATAACTTAGACTAAAGCTGTTTTTCAAGGAGTTGATCACTGACGCCCTCGAAGCAGACAGAATAAAACTCCAGGATGTCCCTTATAGCCAGCTTCCAGTTCTCCCACACTCCTTGTTTGTGTATCTCTGGCACTTATTACAGCTTGGCATGTCATAGTTACTTCATAAATACTTTTTCCCATTCATCCATTCCTGCTGTCTACGTTGTGATGGGTTTTCCTCAGCTTAGCTTCTTGTTGTTTGTCCTTTGTTCTAGAAGAGGACCATGACAACAAGAAGGTGATGCTGTGACTTGCAAGTGAATTGGATTTAAGTGAGGCAGGACTGTGCAAAGTCACCAGCCTCACTCTCTCCTCTGAAACCACCTGGGTCCAGTAGCAGGACAGAGATCAAAGCATAAGGAAAAGGATAAAATACGTGTTCTGGGTGGTAGAGGTGGTGAAAGAGAGGAGCTGAGCTGTGTTCTTCAGAAACTGAAAGGTGAATGGAATGGAATGAGGCAAATGATTTTTTTATCTGATATTTCATGTGTCCATGCCTGAACAATAAGCCCGAGGCTAGTCAACAGATAATGAACTCCCTATCATGTGTGCAAGAACGTACTTAAGTTTCCGAAGACAATTTAAAAAAAAGAGATCTAGAAATGCTTTTTACAAAGAACATCTGGAATATGTGTATACACACACACACACACACACACACACACACACACAAACTCATGTGTGTGATATGCTTTCCAAAGGGGATGCCCAAGAAGGGGCTAGGATCCATTTGGATGTGTTAGTTCTGGTATATTTATTAAAGCATCAGTCCCTTTGCAGAAGGCAGTTAGGTGGCACAGTGGATACAGTACTGGGTGTCAAGATGAGTCCTCTCCATGAGTTCAAATCTGGCCTCAGACACTTACAGGATTTGTGATCCTGGGCAAGTCACTTAACCTTATTTGCCTCAGTTTTCTCATCTGTAAAATGAGCTGGAGAAGGAAATGGCAAACCACTCCAGTATGTTTACAAAGAAAACCCCAAACAGGGTCATGGAGAGTCAGCCAGGAATGAACAACAACAACCCTTTGTGGAAAGAAAGCTATGGTATGTACTTTGGAGGAATCTGAAAAAAGTATGATGAGAAGAAGCCTGCCCCTCAAAACCCAATCAGTCATTCAACAGCATTTTATGAAGTCCCTGCTGTTTGATAGGCTCTGTGCTAGGGGCTGGGGATACAAACGCAGAAATGAAAGGTGGAACAGTTCAGAAAGGGGAAAATGTGGTGAGTGAAGAACAGTAAAGTCAATTTGGCTGAACCATATAGAATGTAGGAAAGACAGTAATGTATAAATTCTGGTTGAAGGCCAATTTGCTCCTAGAGGAAACAGGGAGCCTCTGGACTTTATTGAATGCGGAAGAGACAAGGTCAGACTATACTTGAGGAAAATCACTGTGGCAGCAGTGTGAAGGATGGAGTTGGGGAAGGGAGACCAATTAGGAGGTTATTACAACAGTCTCCAGGAAGAAGATGTTGTGTTTTAGGAGTATGGAATCACAGAGTACCTGGAGCAGTCATCCCCTGGGAGACCCAACCTGTGAGTGCTAGTTGATGAGAATAGCCCAGAGATGGTTAGACAACCTGTTTTAAGAAACTTATAGTTAAGTTGGGTTAAATTATTATAACAAAAATAGCATTTACACAGTGCTTTATGGTTTACAAAATGCTTTATAAATATCATCTCATTTTATACTCATGACAACCCTGGGAGGCAGATGCTATTATTTATCACCATTTAAAAGATGAGTAAACTGAAGTAGTCAGGTTAAGTGACCAGCTTAAGGTCACAGCCGGTAAGTACCTGAGGCCATATTTGAACTCAGGTCTTCCTGTCTCTAAGACCAGTGCATTATCCACGGTATCACCTTGAGGCTATGAGCATAAAACTCTAAGAATCATAGGTCAGGGCAGCTTAGGGAACTTGGGTGTTAGTGGATCTGGGGCTGTCATCAGGGTCCATAGGAAGGACCAATGAGGATGGGGCTACCCTATGTGGAGCTTCACCCCTACCATGGTTCTATAATTATCTCCTTCTTCTGGACAGGTATTCTGAAGGGCAGGGCAGGGCAGTTTTATTACCTTCCCAAATCATCTCACCCTCAGGGAATTTGCCTCTTTGGCTCTTTTGGATGTGAGATTAAAGGCATAGGGCATGAAGCAAGTCCATATTCTTCAACTTAATCTCTTTATTGTCACACTACATTATTTTCTGCCATTTCCAATAAATAGCTCCAGGAGGAACATTTCCATTTGTCTCCTCTGGCTCTAACTCTGCTTTCAGTTTAAGTTTATTGGTAACATTTATATGCCAGGCCCAGTGCTAAGTGATTTACAATTATTATCTCATTTGATCCTCACAACAATCATCAGAGGTAGCTATCATCCCCATTTTAGAGAAGAGGAAACTGAGAGGGACAGAGATTAAATGACTTGCTCCCAGTCACACAGTTAGGAAGTCTGAGGCTGAATTTGAACTCAGGTCTTCCTGACTCCAGGCCCAGACACTCTACACATTGTATCATCTAGCTGCTCCCCTTTAAACAAATCATGGGACCACAGGCCTGGAAGAAAGCCTTTCTATCCATCCTCCTTCCTTCATTCAGAGCCATGGGAACCATACTAACACATGGGAGGAATGATCCCATGTCGAAAGCCTTTTAAAGGAGCAGCTCTCACCATCTCCCTCAATATCGTATGCCTTGATACTCCTCTATCTTTAGGGGGAAAAAAAACCAAGAACATAATGTCCCCCCATTTTTCTTAGGCATTTTAAAAGCACAAAAACATATTTTCACTCAAGATAGATCCTTTCAACCCATTGTCTCATTTTGAGTATCATTTTAATAGCATCAGGCAGGGATTAAATGACTGTAATCTTCTGCAGTGTTGAAGGTGTTTTGCTGGATTTCACAGGCTTAATGGATACATTTAGGCTTGCAGGGAAGGGACAACATCTGGCATGCTGCTGGGGTTGCATTGGACAACTGCAGGAAACTCTTCAACAGCCTGCCACGTTTTTTCTTTACTCATTTTAAAAATATATTTTAAATTTAGTTCCAGTAATTCTACTATGCCTAATTACCAATTTTACAGCTGGAAGGGACCTTAGAGATCTAGTCCAACCTTCTTTTTTTTTCCTTAAATGAAGAAAAGGGAGACCTGGGTGGAGAGGTCAGGTGACTTGCCTATAACATAGGAAGCAAATGACAGAACCAAGATCCGAACCCAGATTCCCAGGCTTCAAATGTAGCATCTTTTTGCACTTTAAAAGCTGCACATCCCTCTTCCCCTCTCCCAAAAGGACCATTCGTTGATAAAAAAAAATTAGTGAAAATACAGATAAATTCATTTCCTCTATAACATTTGTAAATATCTACATGCTTTCCTCCCCATCTCCTTTACTAGCAGACCCTTATCACTCTATATTTAGACATCACAGTGTAAAGAATTTAATCATCTTGCTGCCTTGCCTTCATTCAATATAAAGTGAGGGTCCTAATATCACAATGACACAGCTTGGATACTGATGTGTCTCTGAAGTCCTTACTTGCCTTCTCACTGGTCACTCCTAGTGCAGACTCCATTTGCTCAATCACTTTTATACTGCCCAACTTGAACATTCTTTCTAGGCTGCGCCTTTTTGGTTTTTTTTACAATTCCTGGGGACTTTTCCCCATGGCATCTCTCATAATATCTCTAGTCAGTTTCTGCTATGCATTCACCACTTCTTGGTTTAAATTTCTTTCTGATTCTGTCTCCTCCAGGAAGCTTGTTCTGATTAGGTCAGTCAAGATAAGGTTTCTTTTCTCATGGCTAAAATAGAATGAAAACTTAACTCATGGTCTACATTCCTTAAAAATAACAAACCTCCCCAAATAAATGAAATCAAACATAAGTATTCATTTTGTTAGCACAGCAGTCTAATGTTTATTTTAATGTGTTTCACAGAGGTGCTTAGTAGTCAATATAAAACTTTTTTTTAAACATTAAATCTTTCCTTTATTTAAACAGCAAATATGTAGTAACATACATGTTTCTGAATTCCTTATGAAGAAAGAATTTTCTAAACTTCCAAATGCCTACTAGGTGAACTTTTATGTTTAACTGTAGTATTTATCTGGGGCTACAAACTAGACAAATTTTTTTATATAAATACAGAACAAGGATTCTTCAACTCCTCTTTGGATAATATTAGGGTACAGAAGATATCTGACGTCCAACAATTTTAAACAGGTAGTTCCTTTTTCCTATATCTTCGTTACTCCAGAAGTCATGGAATACCACTTAGATTAAATGATAGTTACTTTATTTCTTTCACAGCACCCTTCACCCTATCCTATCAGTCCTTACAAGTTATTGACCAATTTTCACATTGATGAACCATCAGGCTTATACTGAACGTGAATAAAATGACCCCTCCTTCCACTTTCACATAAAGCAGCTTTTACATTTTAAGGCAACATCTTCCAAGGAATAGAAAATAACCATTTGCTTACTATCTGGACCTTGATGTTTAAGAAACTGATTTCTCAGTTTGAAATCTCAAACACAGAGAGGTTTTCAGGTCCATGTCTGACTTGGGAGACCCCATCCCCCACCAAAGTCACATCTGTCCATTTCTCTTTCTGGCATATATCCCCAAACAGGCACAAATGCCTGTAAGGCTCAGAAACATGCCCAACAGAAGTGCTATGCCATCCCCAGCTTCTACTGCTTCAACAACAGGCAGCACACAGAGCAGGGAAAGGAGGACCAGGAACACTTTGGAGATATCGCCAATGGAGGCCATGTTGCCTGGATCTTGAAGGCTGAAGGAAAATAATCAAGGCTAGTATCTACAAAACAAACATGGGGGAAAATGGGGACCATTAAGGCAAAGAGACATGTAGGCATTTCCCCCAAATTGTAAGGCTACTGGGAAAGATGATAGGCTATGCTAAAGTAAAAGAGGTCACTAAAGAGTCTGAGGTAACAGCCAAAGAGAAGTTAAGGGAGGGGTTAAGAAGAGGACAATACTTTCTTAAAATGTTTATAATTTGCCAGGTATTGTGCTAAGCTCTTTAAATTATTATCTCATTTGATCTTCACAACAACCCTGGGAGATAGGTGATATTATTATCCTCATTTTACGGATGAGGAAACTGAGGCAGAGGTCAAGCAACTTGCCCAAGGTCTAACAGCTAGTAAATGTTTCAGTCCCGATTTGAACTGGGCCCAGCACTTTATCCACTGTGCAACCTAGTTGCCCCATTTATGTGTGACACGTTCCTTAACCTTCGTGGGCCTCAGTTTAGTCAACTGTAAAATAAAAGGGTTAAGCTAGATGATCTAGGTAGGTGATCCTTAGATCTTGAAAGCTTAAAAAAAAAGCTGTGCTTTCATGTATACAAATCACACTTCCTCAGAAATCCTTCCATACTCACTGGGGCCAGGAAAAAGAAAAGTTGTAGGGCCTTTTCGACTTCATGAAATAACTAAGACTTACCAAGAGCCGGGCTATGCACCGGGCAACGTGCGGGGCACTCTCCCTTCTGGCTGAAGATCAAGGCTTCCCTTTATGGCACCTATTAGCAGAAAACAGAATTAGACAATTAAATGACTGAGGGCACTCAGTCTGGACTTTGCTTTTGGATGGAAGCTGCAGCTCAAGGTAGAGCTCCGGGTAGGGCGGGGTGGAAACCAGCAGGAAGAAGGAAAAGAAAACCAACCCTACAAATCAGTTTCTCCATCGCCTTCCTCCTCCCTCGTCCCCACCTCGCCCAGCCCAGGAACTAGGGACTTCAAGTCAATGCGGGGCATTCCGACGCCAGGCAAGCCCCGAAATGAACCGAGTACTTCGGCATTCAAGGCTACATTCACGGCTCCCAGGGGGCACAGAGCTACCTTTCCCCGGGAGTACTCGGCGCTGTGGCAGCAGCGACAACAGCTAAGGATCCCTGGGGTCAGGACTCTTATATTACCGGACAGGAAGCAGCCATTACAGGAATCAGGATAAAGAGAAGGCCACCTCTTGGGACTACATTTCCCACAATTCAAGTGGCCTGCAGCTCCCGTGATGCTCGAGACTTTCCCTCACTTCCTCCTTTCCCCTTCCCACCCCTTCCATCCTTCACCCTGAAGGAGCTCCTGAATGGACAGCCATTTACAATTAATTATTTTATTTTCGGGAATAAGGTGACAGCCATTTTGGGGGCTAGCAGGATCAGTTTGCTGTTAAAGGAGAATTAAAATAATCTGATAATTACATGATATTAGATGATGCTTAGAATAATTTGATTTGAAGTCAAGTCAGCAGGCTTTTATTAAACGCCTTCTGTGTGCCAAGCACAGGCTACACTTGAGAGGTAAAAAAGACAGTCCCTGCCCTCAAGGAGCTCACAGTCTAATGGGGGAGACAGCATGCAAACAACAATGTCTTTATACAGAATAAACTGGAAATAAGCAACAGAGGGAAGGCACTGGAATAAAGGACAGAGAAAAGCTTCCTGTAGGAGGTGAGATTTTAGCTGGGACTAAAAGGAAGCCAGGAATGGAATGGAGAGCATTCCAGGCCTGAGGGACGAATGCCTGAGCAGAGATAGGGTGGAGAATTCGAGGTGCCACTGGCTCTGAGTGAGGCTTTAAGGAAGCCTGGTAAAAGGGGTAAGGGTGCAGGTGATGAAAGGGTTTGAATGCCAAGCAGAAGATTTTGATATTTAGTTCTGGAGGTGAAAGAGAGCTGCTCGGGTTTACTGAATTTACTTCAGTAAGCATTTATTAACCTCCTACTATTCGACAGGCACTGTGCTAATCACTGGGGATACAAAAAAGGCAGAAGAAAGAAGGGTTTGTGGGGTGGTGAAGATAATGAATTGAGTTTTGGATATGTTGAGTGTAAGATGTCTATAGGACTTCCATTTCTAGAGGTTGAAGATTGGGGTAATAGATTTGAGAATGATCTGCATAAAGATGATAATTGAATCACTGAGATCTGATTGGATCACCAAGAAACTTTGGCAAGTCTCAGTTTCCTTATCTGTAAAATGAGGAGGTTAAACTTGGTCTCTGAATTCTAAATCTCTGTGATCTTTTCTTTTAGTTGTACCAGTCATCTGGTGCTTGGAGATTATTATTATTGGAGTAGATTCAATTTATATTCCTAGGATTTTTATAGAATCTTGATGTCACCCTTGAGATGTTGGGGGGAAAAATGGGGCATTTCAGATCTACATTATTGTTTTAGGCATTGGAACCTAGGAGCCACACTAGATGAAGTCTGAAGAGTCCTTTCAATTACATTGTTCTATGATTTTTAGTATACTGATGTTATGTTTGTGGAAGAATATTGAAAACCTTTTTAAGTTTCTATAGAAAATATTAAGAACTTACATTTTTCTCAAAAGCTCTTTCTAACACCTTTGGAAAAGCCCCTGGAAAGGAGTATAAAGAAAGGTAGTAAGCAGTTTTAACTGGTTTTGTTCTGGTCCCCCCCCCCCCACCTGGAGTAATGGGTGTGGGACACATCCATCTCCATTGATAAGGATTAAGATATCAGTGGAATGGAGACAGTTATTTTGTTTTATCTTCTGGAGTCGTGGAACTGTTCCAAGAGGAATGGGATCTTGCCTTGATTGATTAATTTTGGAATCTTAACCCAGACTGTATTTTAAGATAACTTTTTCTTGTACAATATTCTTTCATGGTAGAGATCATGGGGAACTATACTAGTTTGTAGATCTTTTTCCAAGCTAGCTTGGATGGTGGATTAATGTTTAATGAAATAAAATTATTTCTCAAAGACTTGAGTTTAAATAGCCGAGTATTGTAGTAGTATTAATATTTTTTCTTCAACATCCAGAATCAGTGATTGATAGATTGCAACAGGAATTACCAGCCTGGTTTTGAAAAACTTCAATTTGTGCCAATTTAATTGGGAGTGTTATGGGTTTAATTTTTTATAAACCATCAACATAAAATTAATTTTATAGAAAGAATCTATGATTTTCTTATTGGAGTCCTCCTCTATTTATCAGCAAATAAAATTTCTAGGAAGTTTTGTTGAATTACATAGAGGTTAAATGACTTCTTTTAGGATCATAAACAAAGTGTCACATGTAAATTTTGAACCCATTCTTCCTGACCCAAAGCTCAGAACTCTATGCACTAAAACACATGCCTCTCAAAAATCAATTTTACTTCATTTCAGTTCTCGTCCTCCTTTTTTATTAGGTCCAGATCAAATTTCATTTTCTCCAGGGAGCCCTTGTCCTACTTTGGGTTTCAGGCATGGTTGTCTCCTGTGAACTCCTTTAACACCTTTGACTATTTCACACATTGGACACTTAGAATCATAAGACTGTGGAATTGAGGAGGTCTTGCAACCCTTCCAAACCATCCTCCCATTTAATACAGGAATCCTTCTTACTTGTTTTTTAAATAAAGGGGAAAGTCCAACTACATTTAATGGGAAGTTGGATTGTCTGTCCTATGAAATCTCATGCTCCAGAATTCTATAAACAAGCAATCACATAGTAATAACAATGGAAAGGATGTTATCAAAGAAGTGTATGACTGAAAAACCGGATGGTTTGTTCAGGGAAGGGAGAGTGTGGATTAACCTACTAACAGCCCACATCTTATGCTGTCATCATTGTGATGTCAGGAGAACTGGATGATGGCTCCTCCATGCCCTTATTGGGTGTGGAATCCCTTTGGTGAATTCATGCGGGTTCTTGGGTAGGATCACACAGGATAGACAGACATGGATAGGTTGTGATCTGCATCATTGGAGAGAGTATTCACACTGATGAGATAACCGATCATTTGGTATATATCTCTTCTATGTAAGCACCTTCTATGTTCCAGAAACTCTAAAAGGGGGGTGGGGGGGATACAAATACAAAAAAGACAGTCCCTTGCCCTCAATGAGCTTACTATCTAATGGGGGTAGATAATTCACAAAAGGAAGCCGAAAAGGGGGTACCTGTGGCCTTCTAGGTCCTTGGGTATGGTCTTTTGACTGAGGCTAGGTTTTACAGAACAAATCGTTTTATTAAGGTTTCCCACCGTTGGGGTAGGAGACAGGCATGATTGAAAAGTCCAAAAAGTAGGGCAGCTAGGTGGTGCAGTGGATGGAGCTCTGGCCTTAGAGTCGGGAGGACCCAAGTTCAAATCCAGTCTCAGACACATGACACTTACTAGCTGTGTGACCCTGGGCAAGTCACTTAACCCCGATTGTCTCACCAAAAAAGCAAAAAAAAAAAAGTCCAAAGAGTCTCAAAGTAGTATAGTACAGCCAAGTGAGGAGTGAGATGTTCTGAGCTGACCTCTCTCCTTAAATGGAAGTTGTGGAGTTTGTGGCTCCAGTGTCCAATCGGAGCGGTAGAGGGTAGTAATGAGGTGTAAGACCGAGGCTGATGGGGGTTTTGCCAGCTGATGAGGTTTTCCCAATACGGACATCGTATTTTGACAAGGTTACTAGATAGGTCAAGGAAATGCTTTAGATGTAGGCCATCTGCAGGCATTTGACAGAGTCTCATGTGATAGACTTGTGGATAAGATAGAGAGATGTAAGCTGGGTGATAACATAGCTGGGCGGAATTATATATAGCTGGGTTGAAAAACCATACCCAAAGAGAATTAATTAATTAATGGATCATATGACAACCTAGAAGAAGGTTTCTAGTGGCATGCCACAACAATCAGTCAGTCCTAGGTCTTAATCTGTTTAGCTTTCTATCCCAACTATGAATAAAGACATAGAAGGCATGCATATCAAAATTTCAGATGTCACAAAACAATGAAGGGCAGTTAATGTGTTGGATAGAAGAAGAAGATTTCATAAAGGCTTTTGACAGGCTGGACTGACTAACAAGATTAAATTTAATTGGTATATCAGTTGAAGAATGGCTAAGCAAACTGGTATATGAATGTCATGGAAACAGGAAGAAGTGAGCAATATGAGGAATTCAGAGAAATATGGGATTCTGAGGATGAAACTGTGTGTTGCTAATACCCCTTCTTCTTGGAAATTCAACCAAGTGTATCTCTAGTTTAGATGATGGACTGTACCTGTAGGCAACCTTGTTTTGGGCAGCAGGCAGCACAGTGGATAGAGCACTGGCTTGGAGTTGTTAGGATCTGAGTTCAACTCTGGCTTCAGACACTTGCTGTGTGACTCTGGACAAGTCACTTAACTCTGTTTACCTCAATTTCCTCATCTATAAAATGAACTGGAAAAGGAAATGGTAAGCCATTCTAATATCTTTGCCAAGAAAATCCCAAATGGAGTCAGGAAGAGTCAGACAGAACTGAACAACAGTCACCACAGCCACTTTGTTTTACCCTAATATTCCAGTTGTAAATAGTCCTAAGTAACAGAGTGAACCCATGAGAGAGTGTGATAGCCAGCCTGGGCTAGCCACAAAAACAGAAAAAGACCAAGAGTTATTTATATAGTTAACCATCTAGAAACCTGGGAGGTCATGGTAGAAGCACTGAAACTATTACCCATCGGCTATACTGCTTTAGGACTTCTCTGTCGTTATACCCTTGCCCAACCTCTTTCCTTTCAGGTTTTTTTGGTTTATTACCTTCCCCTACTAGATTGTAAGTTCTTTGAGGGCAGGGACTGTCTGTATTTGTATCCCCACCTAATGTATAATAGACCAGTAATAAATGTTTATTGATTCTTGACTATTAGTTAGTGACCAGAGATATTTATAATGCACCAGTAAAATCAGGAGAAATGGTCACATATAGTGCTTTGTGTGCCCCTGCAACATATTTTGTTATATATTTCACCATTCATTGGTGCTATTGAACTTTAATTTGTTTATAATGAGGTATAAATATAAATTATTTTGGTTTGTTGTTGCTGTTCTGAATACACTGTGGGTAAGTATGACCTGCCTGTCTTCCTGTTTCCTCCCAGGCTCTTTCTCTCTGGGCTCACTCACTTCCCAAACTCATACCCATATTAACAGTTCTTCAGAGGGGCAGCTGCTAGAACTTTGTCTTTGGACTCTAGGGGTTGTCCTTGTGGGTGT